CATAATGCGGCTCGCAAGTTGGCCACCCTGATTTAGATGATAAAAAGCTAATAGCTTTGTGAGACCAAAGGAGAAAAGTGAAAAGGAAGGAAGATTCTCCTCGCCTTCCTCCCCAATTACCTGAAACGGCTGCCTGCAGTTTGCTTGTTATAACCTGTTCATCTATGTACAGTGAGGGATAAAGGCTAGTGATGTTCTTATGAGGGTAAGACAATGGGAACAATGACAAACCAGACTCCTTGCCTTCTCGCAGGAGGTTAATTAAAGGAAGACAAACTACCAGGGTGATCAAAGAAGATTGAATTTGGTTAAGGCTCTCACAGTCTTTCACTTGCTTCTTCAATGCAGAGCAACAAACCTGAATAACACATGAGTGTTTTTGTCAGTAACACTTCCAATACCAAAGGCTTCTCGATCCCGAGCTCAGTTTGGAAATGCTTTTGTAGTTGAGGTTTCTGAGCCGTTTGCATGTGCGTTAGTGAAGAGGTAGACAGTGCAGACCATCAATTAATAAACCCAGTGGTGTCTTCTGGGGCCTGAACATGTTTTATATGATATCCACTGATTGGACTTGTTAGTTCAAAGCACTCCAATTTCCTTTTGGAGTAATTGCCTGTATTCATGGAGGAAAAAGTCCCCAAAGGCTTTGAGGAACTCTTCACATCCCGAGGAATATACCAGAGACATCGTTATTGTCAGCTTATTGTTACTGCGTGTAATTACAGCTTTGTGAGATATTTAGAACTATAGCGTTAATTTTATCCACTAGCCAGTGGTTAATAATCATTTAATAATCAAAAGTGACAGGAGACTTTTTTTCCAGTGTAATCGAGATCCAATTGTGATGACCTTTCTGAATGAAAAATTTATGAAGCATTTTATCGGCTACCCATGCTTGGCTATTGGTTGCAAATTCAGTGTCACTTGACTCTTTCTGATGCCGTCCCAACGAATTATTTACAGGGACATTTCTTCTCTCTGTCTCTCTCCTTTGCCACTGAGGTTGCAGTGCCTTAAATAAACACAATCATCTTTCTAAATTCTCTCATGCTGTCTGAATTCCTTTTCCACCGAGCACAAAACTGCCTTTGCTTTTGGTCATTTTTCCTCGACCGCCTCCCCCCCAACCCGCCACCCCCTTTCTTCAGTTCCCTCCATTCCTAGATGGCTCTGTGATGACTTCGCAATGTGGAAGGCGTTATATAAATGTAATAATAATAATCCTTGCATTTGATATAGTGCCTTATCATGTCGTTGAGACTTCTCAGGATATATTGTAAAGTGGATTGGCGATGTGTGTATTTTGTGGGCGAAACGCGGTAGCCAATTGTGCACAGCAGTGTCTCACAAACAGTCGTGGATTGAGTGAACAAATTTTTTTTTGAAGGAATTATTACCTCCGAAAGCGATCCGCCAATTGACTAACAACAAAGGGTTCCTACTTTCGCCTATAAAGTGTACAGTCAATTCACTTTACAGTATATTCTGTAAAGTGCTTTGAGATGTCTTGAACTGTGATAAGGCGATAGATCAAGTGCAATGATTATTATTATTACTGCTAGGTAAACAGGCATGTGGAGTAAGGAAAATTGCCTAAGGTTTGATAAAATTGCTGCTATTGTTGCTGGTGGCTTTGGTGTTCCCGAGGAGGGGAATGGTTATGGGTGTGTGTGGGGAAAGGGGATATGGAGGGGGTGAGAAACGGAAGCGGGAGATCTATTCCTGATCAATATCCACTCATCCGTACAGGACGTAGTGTAGCGACAGGATCAGGTTCACCTGTAATCAGCCAATATCAGCTGAGATGTACGCATAATATCTGGCCACTTGAACAAGCTGCAAGTGCTTTTGGAATTTTACTCTTGTATGAATTACTGGATTCAGAAGCGGAGTGAAATTGAGGTGAGGGTGGTGGGGGAGAGGGGAGAGAAAACCAATATTTGTACATCTATTTTTGGTCATCTGGGTGTCTGAAAAAGCGGAAAACCCTTCCTGAGCTAAAAAGCCTCTGATTCTAGTTATTGATAATTCTTAGAAGAGCAGTTTCTATTTGCCCCTTTTGGAGTGCACAGTGTTCCCCCTCTGATGGTAACACCATTTCCCCCTGATCACACATGTAAACCATCGAGCAGTTGTTATTCATCGACTGCACGTAACTCTGTCCACAAGCTTGTTTTGGTTCAATTTAATAGACCAAAACTGGGGGTGTTCAATTCCAAATCAATTTATGAAGACTGCAGTTCTCAACAAAATGAGAATTATCACTGTTGATAATCGACACATCGCCCATTGCATTTTTACTTTTATATCAATTACATAGAATGTTACAGCACGGAAACGGGCCATTCAGCACAGAAACGGGCATTCAGCCCACTTCAATCATGCTGGTGTTTATCCTATACCTGGGCCTCCGCCCCTCCTTATCTCTCCTCCTATACCCCTCTATTTCCTTATCCCTCATAAGTTTCCTCTGAAATACATTGACCTGCCCAGTCTTTCTTGATACCTGTATCCATTCATCCCTAGTAACATCTTAGTAATATCTATTTTTTGGTTACGCAGATATCCGACACTCACGGTGACCCAGCTGCTCAACAATATCCAAAGGAGACACAAGTTTCACATTTGCATATCATCTATGCACAGAAATCCTTTTTCGTATGGAATGTGTACTCTCCCTGGAGGAATGGTATCCTGCTTACCTAATCATCAAAATATTGGCTGTATTATGGCATTAGCCAAGGCTTGGGGGCCCCAGAGTGTGTGTTGGGGGTACTGCTGATGTTTAACACAGCCTTACCATTGTGAATACTGGCAAGCTTGCTACTTCTTGTCCAGCTAGGGTCACCCTATCCATTAGGGTTTTAGCTTGAAGGATTGACAGGAACTAAGTATGACGAATTTCTGTTGACTGGTCTGTTCCTCCAAGTCCTGCTGTCAAGCAAAGATAGCTGGTCTGTCATCAGCAGTGTCTTGGAGAAGTAAGGACCTGTCTGGCTCAGGAACCAGACTCCTGTGTCTGCCACAGGGGTCAACTCAATTCCAGATTTTCATTGGCAGGACCATGCTTGCCGACCCCCAAGGAGGATAGCCATTAGATATTTTATATACAGTTTCCTTGTCATCTGTTGCTGTTTCCACAGCTCATACCAGGGGTACGAAACCTACCAGAAAACATTTTGAAAAGTGAGCTTCAAAGAACGACACTGGCAGTGAGTTTGCAGCAGGAATGGTGATTTAACATTACTCTGCTCCTTGGTAAAGTGCTTGAGCTTTGCTTTGCCGTTCAAGGTTTCGTAGCAACTGCTCAATTGAATTACTACATTGTAATTCACTGCCAACCAGTTTACAATAATAACTGTTTGCCAGCAGTGTGCCTGGAAAATGCCCGGAAATCTTTGGCCTGGAGACATGGGGGGCGGGTGGGGGGGCGTGAAGAGTTGGACAGGAGAGGGATTAACCCCAAACCAGAAAACATGTCATCTAAAATTCCGCCACTTCCTTTCCAAATCATGTGAAATTCTTTTCCTATGAGTGTCTGTCAGCCAAGAAGATTAGGAGCAGTCGTGGTGCTTTGCACTCTCACTGTCAGCGAGTGGTAGCTGTAACCATGGTAACTGACTCGCCATGACAGCCCCCAACGAATTCTGGAGTGTCAGTGATGTAATCCCTCAGGTGCCAAAAAGACAATTGAAAAAGTGCCACCTATATAAGATAGATAAATAACTCCTTCAGCGAGGTTGTGTCTGAATAGCCAACAAATGCCCTAGATCCTACGTTCCATACACTACCCCTGAGAGGTGATGACATCTCTATCACACTGCTGACTAGCCCCCTCCCCCCTCAGCATTGTGATCTACTCCCACAAACCATTGAACAGTGTCCGCTCTTAAAATGTCCCTTTAGCCAGTTTTTAATTGTTAACATAGTAAATGTCTTACGTCCTACCCTCCATCCCTCTTGATTCCAGCTCCTTGACTGCCCAGCGCCTTCTGATGTGAAAGACGCTATATATAAATGTAATTTGTTGTTGGTTGTTGTCAATTCAAGTTTGAGAAACACTTTTCTTACTTCAATAGCCTTTCTTCCACTTGTTCGTATCCGATTCTTCTATCCGTCTATTGTGGCGTAGGTAAGTGGGGTCTCCCTGTGGCCGTCCTTGGCAACAGAATGTCAGAATTTAGTAAATTCTGTGTGTTGGTTATCCCGTTTCCTGATGCAGGCTAGTCCATAGTACTTCACGGCACTGCTGATGACAGCATAGCCAGCCTGGCTTGTCATCAGTACTTGGAAGGGCAGACCAGACACTGGAAGCAGGATTCATCTCCCACAGCTCATGTTAACCCTGCAAACTAAACTAATGGCTCAGCTGGTTCTAGCTGGCTAAGACGTGGGAAGCTTGCCAAGCAGTTTTCATAATGGCAAGCTGCGTGGTTTTAGCTCATTAAACTCCAGTAACAAATTAAGATCATTATAAAAGAATTGAAAGAAAAGGCAAAACAATCTTTGACAAGGGTTCAAAAATTGTTTTAAAAAGAAGTGAGATAGGTATAATAATAATCCTATATATAGGACGCCACAAGATGTCTCAAAAGGTATAACAGGACTCCACAAGGTATAATAATAATAATAATAATAATCCTTGCATTTGATATAGCGCTTTTCACGTCTTTTAGACATCTCAAAGCGCTTCACAGAATATACTATAAAGTGAATTGACTGTATATTTGAGGGTGAAATGCAGCAGCCAATTGCACACAGCAGTGTCCCACAAGCAGTTGTGAATTGAGTGACCAAATTGTTATTGGGTTTTTTTCTTGATGGATTATTATCAGGCGTGTAGAGTAAGGAAACTTGCCCAAGATGTCTCAAAAGGACCTTGTACAGGTGTATAAGATTTTAAATGGGATTGAAAAATCACCCAGAACAATATTTTAGGATGAATCAAGACAATAGAACAAGAGGACATTTAATTTGTTTCATATTTTTCTTCTCCTCAGATCTGAATATGGAGTTTAACCCTTCGGATCACCCTCGAGCAAGCACCATGTTCTTGAGCAAGTCACAGACAGACGGTGAGTGCTCTAACCCACGCTGGAGCTTTTACTCCATATGTGATACCTACTGTTTTAATACAAAGTGGTTTGTCTGCATTTGTGCTAACTTTCACTTGCTATCAATTATATTCTGCTTAAAGTGATCAGGGTTTGAATTCTTGGGGTATGTGTGTGGGGGGAGGGGGTACACCCGGATTTAGATCTATTCAATGTTTGTAACATTTCAGAGCATCCAGAATTGGACAAATTGTTAATAATAACAATAATTGTGTTTGATATAGTGTCTTATGTCTTTGAAATGTCTCAAATCGCTTCACAGAATATACTGTAAAGTGAATTATTGACTGTGTATTGTGTCGGCGAAACATGGTAGCCAATTATTGAATTAAATATTTGAAAGCAGTTTTTAGTGGTCTTTAAAATAACTTGCTGCCTTCACAATTAAGGCTGTAGTTCAGAATTTGCTAAATTCTGGATGCTCTAAAATGCAACAGAAATAGAGTAAATCTAGACTGAGGTAGAATTTCTACCCAGTGGTTCTTTTTAAACGTTCCGTTTGTTATCAAATGTTATAACATAGAATCCACACCATTGAAACAGGTCATTCAGCCCCAATTGTCTTCCACTTGTTGATGTCATATGCAGTGATCACCCCCAGAGTGCACAGTCTTAAGACATCCTCCTGACGTGAAAGGATTATATATAAATATAAATGTAAATTGTTTTGTAACACAAATCTCCAGAGCAATTGTTGATGCAGCAAGCTGCATACATTAATTTAGAAGGATATTAGATAATAAGAAAGGGTGTGAAAGAGAGAAGGAAGGTGGGATTAGATTAGGTGACTCAAGCAGAGACACAAAATGCAGAATTGATGGGCTGAAGCACCTGTTTCTGCTGTAACATTCTCTTAATATATTTTTGACAATTTTATTGTGTTTTATTTCAAGGAGTGACTTTTTCCCGGTCACTAAGTCGGCCGTTTAAAACCAAATTGAGCAATTATTGCGACGGCAATGATGTATAGTAAGTGATCGAGTACAACGTAAATTCCTTCCTTGGAATGAAAACAATTTGACACAAAATTTCTACCTGAAAAATTAAGCTAATATTTCTTTTTTTTTCCATACCAATTTTCTCCTAGCTATCTTCTGATGGTCCAAAATTCTGGATCTATAGATGATAATAATAATAATAATTCTTACGTTTGATATTTTGCCTTTAATATTATCAGGTAGTTGAATGTGACAGCCAATTTGGTCAAAGATATATCCCACATACAGCCATAAAGTAAACAATTACTTTCTATCTGGGGGATTGTTGGCCAGGACACTGGAAGAACCTCCCTGCTCTTTTTCCAAATAGTCCCATGGGATCTTTAACATTTAATTGAACAGATGGGGGGGGACCTTGGTTTAGCATCTCATCTGAAGGACAGAGGCAGCAGATATCTTTCAATATATTGCCCAAGTGAACTTTGACTCTCTCTTGTCGTGGGTGGCCATGACAGCTGAGCCCCAAATCTATGCTCACCCGACCTCTGACCAGAGTTTCTGGTTGGTGATGAAGACTAGAGAGCTCTGCTAATATTTTCTATCTTCCCTATCTAAGAACCCAGAGGCCAGTCGCTGAGCTTACTCTCCACCGACTGATACCCACTAACAGCATCCATCAGGGATCACACCTGGGACCTTCCGGGTCATGGTCCAGCTTTTCAACGGATAAACCTTCTGAGCCATGGATTCACCCCTCGAACACTGATTTCTCATGAGATTTTCCACATCTCACTTTAGGCAATAGTCCTTGCCTCTGGTTATAGCATGCTTGGATATAAATGCCGTGTTTATCTGTGTTGTGCCAAATTGCTGCTACAAGCCTCAAAAGAGCTCAATTAAAGCTTAAAGATCAACATTGAGTGTAATGAGCTTTGCTTGTATTAACCACTACCACAACAGCTTTACTGGTGCCCTTCCAGCCCACTTAGGGTGAAGGCCACTGCAATCGAAAGCCGATTAGCACACAGGGAATTGAGCTTGTTTGAGACTGTCAAGGTTATGTACGTTTGCCTCAAAATGCACTCCACTCCACAGTAAATAATGTGAAGCACATTTTTACGTTTTAACGATCTGATAGGACGCTATATATGAAACACAAGTATTATTGTTAGATGGAATCATTTCATCTAATGCTGCAAATTTATTTTCCTTTTATTGACTTTGGTTCTTCCCCAATTTTTTTCCCCTTAAACTGTGATTGATGTTTTCAGTCAGTGGGTTTGTGGGGATAGTTACCCCAAACATTTCCAAATTAAACACTAGCCCATCCCTGGAATCAGGAGTGATACCTTTCTGTACATTATTTTCCCCATTGAGGTTAAGTTTTGTGTCAGCCTGACTCAGTTAGTAACACTCTCACCTCTTGAGTCAGAATGTCGTTGATTCAAACCTCTCCTCGGGATGTTGAACAGACAGTCTAGACCAGGGGTGGGCAAAATACGGCCTGCGGGCCTTATATGGCCCGCCAAATAATAATAATATAATAATAATAATATGATTCTATCTGGCCCGTCATTGTGTCTAGCAATAGAAAAAATTATAGTTCGTTCAGTTCCATAAAGTCCCACAAATTTCGCTTTTGAATCAGACCGAGAACATCAACCAATCACACTGCTTAGTTAATGCCCCAGTATTGGAGGAGAGGGTAGAGGAAATGGATAGGATAAGTATAAATGGAGAGGAAGTACTGAAAAGGTTGACTGGGCTCAAGGTAGACAAGTTGCCCGGTCCGGACGGGATGTAGCCGAGGTTGCTATGGGAGGCAAGGGTACAAATAGCGGAGGCTTTGGCTACAATTTTTCAAATTTGTTGGACACAGGGGTGGTGCCAGAGGACTGGAGAGTGGCCCAAATGTGACTCCCCTGTACAAAAAGGGGCAGAAGGACAAACCTGGGATCTACAGGCCAGTCAGCCTAACATCAGTAGTGGGGAAACTCCTGGAGACTATAATCCAGGACAGAATAAATCTTCACTTAAAAGAATATAGGTTAATTAGGGACAGCCAACATGGATTTGTCAAAGGCAAATCTTGTCTAACAAATCTAACAGAATTTTTTGATGAGGTAACGGAGAGGGTGGATAAAGGTAGTGCAGTAGATGTAGTTTATATGGACTTTCAAAAGGCATTTGACAAAATGCCACATAAAAGATGTAAGAAAAATAGAACGGCTGGTTTTCTGTCTGGAGGTAAGTGTACAGTGGAGTCCCCCAGGGATCGGTATTGGGACCACTACTCTTCTTAATATATATAAATGATCTGGACTTGGGTATAGCAAATACCATTTTCAAGTTTGTGGTTGACACAAAGTTAGATAGGATAGAAAACAGTGAGAAGGATAGTAGCCAACGGAAGGAAGACATAGATAGAATGGTAAAATGGGCAGACACATGGCAGATGAATTTCAATGTGGAGAAATGCAAGATAATGCATTTTGGGAGAAAGAATGAGGGGAGGCAATATAGGATAGGTTATACAATCTTAAGGGGGGTAACAGAACAGAGAGACCTGGGGGCTCAGGTAAATTAATCCTTGAAGGTGGCAGGACAGGTAGATAAAGCTGTAAAAAGGGCATATGGGATACTAGGCTTTATAAATGAGGGCATAGAGTGCAAGAGTCAGGAAGTTATGATTAACCTATATAAAACACTGGTTAGGCCTCAGTTAGAATACTGCGCCCAGTTCTGGGCACCACACTATAGGAAGGATGTTAAGGCATTGGAAAGGGTGCAGAGGAGATTTACAGGGATGGTACCAGGAATGAGGGACCTTGAAAGGCTAGAGAGGCTAAGATTATTCTCATTGGAGCAGAGAAGGTTACGAGGAGATTTAATAGAGGTTTTCAAAATCATGAGGGGATTTGATAGGTTAGAAAGGGAAAGGGTGAGGTCACAGATTTAAAATAGTCTCTAAAAGAAGCAGAGGGGAGGTGAGAAGAAATTTTTTCAAGCAGCGAATCTGGAATGCATTGCCTGAAAGGGTGGTGAAGGCCGATTTGATAACAACTTTTAAAAACGCGGTGGACGGGTATTTGAGGAGGACGGGTTTGCAGGGTTATGGGGAAAGCGCTGGGGAGTGGGATTGACATTCCATTGCTCTTTTCAAAGAGTTGGCACAGACTCGATGGGCCAAATGGCCTCTTTTTGTGCTGTACGATTCTATGATTCTAAGATTGTGCACACGCTCCCTTGGAAGTGTTGAATCAGGCTGCAATGTACAGATTGGCAAATTTTCAAACGCGCATACAGCAACCGCGGAAATACTTCTCACTGAAGAGGACGTTAATATATGGGATTATTATTATTATACGGAAAGTGGACGCTGAAGGCCGAATATTCAATAAAGAATGGACTTCTAAATTTTTTTTTACCAGTGTGGCTGGAAAAGCTGTGTGCTTAATTTGCAAAGAAAGCGTGGCAGCTTTGTATATAATATATAAATATATATTATATATAGTTTATTTTTATTATATAAAAATTATTTTTTATTTGAGGTATCACCAAACATTTTGAGCTCACAGAAGAATTGGCATCAATGTAGACAATGAAAGATATTGGAGAAGACTTTTTGGAGGCAGTAAATAAGTGTATCTTAAAATTAGGAGTGGAGTGGAAAAAAATAGTGAATGTGACCACTGATGGAAGCCCAAATCTGAGGGGCAAAAATGTTGGGTTACTGAAAAGAATTCCAGATCAAGTCAAAGAAACAAATCGAGAACAGAATATTGTTTTTCTACACTGCATTATCCGCCAAGAGGTCCTCTGTAGAGTGTTCTAAAACTAAGCAATGTCGTGGACACAGTTATGAAGTGGTCAACTACATTCGAGCAAAAGGATTAAACCACAGGCAATTTGTAACTCTGCTTGAAGATTTGGAATCCGAGCACATGGATGTTCTGTATCACACAAATGTAAGATGGCTTAGTTTAGGAAAGGTCTTAAAAAGAGTGTGGGAACTGGGAACAG